CTTAATCACATTGTCCACAATTGGCGACGACACTCCTGAGAAGGCAGTTTCTTCCCCACCAATCGATATGCGTTCCACGAAGCTAGTAGTCGGTAGGTCATTAATCTCCAGGGGACCCGTTCCTTCCTCAAAGTCGTCTTTCCCGACATCGCTCGGTATTTCGTCCGCGTACGGTCGACACCAGCGACCCTTAAAGCGCTTAAGCAGTTCACATTTACCGTTACGATCTTGTTCGGGTGAGCCGGGATCGCGATCTTGTTGGCGTTCTCCCCGATCTGGCCGACAACACGGTAGGGGCCATGCCAGGAGAACGTCAATTTCTTCGTCCTGCGTTCCCCAACTCGAGCTCTGAAATACTGGTACACCCAGGCGGCCTCTCCGTCTCCATACGTAAATTTACTTGCTTGTCCAGCCGCTTTTCATGCCTCTCTTGGGCCTTGAGCAGTTGTCGTTCCACCAGCCTCCTCGAGTCCCTCAACGAGTGGTACAATTTCCGCCTGTACACTGCAACCTCGTTGCTCTTCCATTCTTCCACAGTATTCAGGAAACCCCAAATCGATAGGTAGCACGGATTTCGCCCATACAAACTGAAGAACGGAGAATCACCTAAACCTTCATGGTACGCCGTCGGGTACGCGAACAAGACTCTCGGTAGATACACGTCCCAGTCAGTCTGCGTCTCGGTCAGGAACATCCGTAGCATCTCCATTAGCGTTCCATTGAAGCGTTCTACGAGCCCTTGCGTCTGCGGGTGGTACGCCGCCCCAAACAACTTCTTGATTCCCAGTGTTTCGTACAACGACCTGGCCAGAATCGACGTGACGTTGGATCCTCGATCACTGAGTAGGCGTTCCGGTACGCCATGACGGCAGATGACACCCTCTATCATGGTGTTCACGAAGGAAATCGTGTCGAGCGACGCGACAGCGAACGCCTCGACCCACCGCGTGAAATAGTCCACGACCACCAGGGTGTACTTGTTCCCTCGGAGTGTCACGACCAGGGGGCCGATAGCATTCACCGCGAGCAACACGAACGGACCCAACAAGTCCTGAACTGGCATCCGTTGCATTAACCCAGCTCTCCAAGGCCTATGACCCTTGCCACCACCGCATATAGAACACTCGCGCACGAACTCAGCCATGTCTCTCTTCCAACCGTGCCAATAGGCGTGTCATCTTACCTTGTCAGCAGTCTTGGTCTTCCCCAGGTGAGACGAGAATATGTCGGCGTGACAAAAGTGTAGGACCGTCTCGATGAACGGCAACGGCACAGCAGGAATGCAGATCGTCCTCATCGGACCAGAGCGCGCACCCAAGTGGACAAGCCTCATCAGGACTCCGTTCCTCATCACGTAGTGGGGTGACATCTTCAGCACACTGACCCTTAATTGTGGATCGAGTGCTAACGCTCCATCTTGCAGGAACACCTTCAAAGCCCTCATCCATGGCACGTGTTCTAGTTCTTCTACAAACTAGTCACAATCCAACCCGAATACGTCCACAGCATACGGGTGCATCAGAGGAGTCCCACTCTGAAGATCCTCTTCTTGTCCCGCTTGCGTGAGAGGCTCGTCCGGCACCGGCGATCCATTCCTCGGCGTTACGTCGCCAGGAACCGTGGTCTCGAGGTGCTCCCCGGCTGGGACGACACCCTCTCCGGCGTTCCTAACGATCGTTCCTCCGGGATCCGGGGTTCCTTCCTGTATTCGTGTTACTCCAGGACTCGGCGTTACGAGGTCGGCCTCATCCCCCGCCTCTTCATTGAGGAGGTCGGCCACCCGGATAGCGGCTACTCCACCGACGTCCGGTTGATGGTACAGCCTCGACAAGCCGTCCACATGACCCATCGACGCTCCCGGCCAGTGGTGCACCTTGAATCGTAACTGGGACAGTTCCATAGCCCACCGTGCCAACTTGGCGTTCGACGCCCTCGTATTCTCACCAAAGATCCACGTGAGCGCCTGATGATACGTAAACAGGTCGAACTCGGCATGGTCTAGGTAGCACCTGAACTTACGCGTGGCCCACACGATTCCCCAACATTCGATTCCCGTTGTTCCACTCGTCTTGTAAATTCAGTTCCGCTGGGAGCCCACCAGCATCTTACTCGCATACGCGATCGCTCGGTCACGCCTGTCGACCTCCTGCATCAGACATGCTCCTACGGCCAAGTGCGACGCATCCACGTAGAGTTTGAACCGTTCCCTGAAATTAGGGTACACGAGACGAGGAGGCTTCACAAGTGCACGTTGGCGTTGTTGGAACGTCACTTCGCAGTCATCGTCCCACGAGAACTCCACCCCTTTTTTTCTTCAGGCGTTCTAATGGAGCTGCAACCGCTGCGAAGCCCGGTATATAACGCCGAAAGTAACTAGTCAATCCCAGGAACGCCCTGACCGTATGCAGGTCATGCGGCCTCTCGATG